GCACAATTTTCTGTTGCTTCTCTTGCTTGGCGCGCTCAACAAAGAAGACTGCGCGTTGTGCTTCCTGCTGTGCAACCTGCTTGGCTTCAACTGCAGCGGTATATTCCTTGCCGAAACTCAGTTCAGTGAGTGAAACATCATCAAGAATGATATTGAAGTCACGTGCACGCTCCACTAATTCTCGGCGGATAAGCAGCGAAACCTGCAAACGAACGATGGCATGAAACAATAACTAGTTTTCGATGTAAGCTACAGAGTAATACCTGCTGACGTTGTGTAATCAATTGTGAAGCATTGAATTTGGCCACCACACTTTTTAGCACTTCGTTGCAAATTGAGGGCAAGACTTTCTCATCGTAATCGACACCAAGCTGACGATGCAAGATGGGAAGACGCAAGGAATCAGGACGAGAAAGCACACGCAGAGAAATGTTGATCATCTGTAAATCCTTAGAACCTGTCGGTGATGAAATCTTACGAGGACGAGAGCGGATGTCATATACAATTGGATATTGGAACCAGGGAATGCGGAAATGTAAGCCTTCAGAGTAGATCTCATTCTGTATACCCCCAAGACGGCTGAAAATGATAGCACGATGACCACCATCCACTGAAAATTTTTATAAACATTAGCTACATACATATATACAAGATCAGTAAGATCTAGAAACGCTTCTAAACGGCTTGATTTGTGGTTATGCAACCGGTTGGGCTCGCCCTCAGCCGGCTCTTGACAAAACATTAATCTAACTTCAAGGTTTAAAAATACATCTAGGAAAGTTTATATATGTTTAGACTGCAGTTCATTTAAATGGTCTGCAATTGTACCGAAACGTTATGAAATTACTTCGGCTCGTTTGCAATGCAACTGATAATGGCTACATTGAGGTTATGTCATCAACATGTTTTTATACATATTTTATATGTTCTAATTCTTTTAACTTATTAAGAAATTCATACCTGTGTATAAAGACTGATTGATGGCGTAGGCAGCGGCACCAACTGCCCCCAGCAGCTTTAATCCCACGGATAATCCTGGTGGACCACCTTTGCCGAATTTTCCAGCCAAGTCATTTAGTTTACTCTGTGCCATTGTCAGCCGCTGTTATGAGCAGAAAAGCACAAACGATTATTTATTGTAATTTATAAGAACTTTTGTGGAATATACTTACAGTTAAATGCAATCACAATTAATTATTTTATGCAAAGAAAACCAAAAACTTGAAAAAGTCCGACTGTAAAATTTACCGCACTGAAAAAGTATGACTATTGAACTAACCAACTCAGGGTTAGTGATGTGCCGAGTCGAGTCGACTCGAGTTCTGACTCGAGTACTTTANCGTAAAATTTACCGCACTGAAAAAGTTTGACTATTGAACTACCCAACTCAGGGTTGCATAGGATCTGTAAGTTAACAGTGGTGTACACATGCGTTGCTTTATATCCAATAACTCCATTCAGATCACCCATAATGTTTGAAATAAAAAGGTCGGCATGGAAACTAGTGCTTTCCGTCCGATCAAATATCGCGATTCTGGATTTCGTCCATTCAGAGCGCCTGCCGGTAGAGAAGTTTGTAAGAAGCGGCTTGGAAACAAGTCCATTCCAACCGCTCAGTTGTGGCGGCTCTGGAAATTACACTCTTAGACCGCATATCGTACGTGATATATTTATGGTACTGCTTGGAATCCCGTCCATTCCAACAGCATCTAGAATATGCTATCTTAGTTAAATATACATACTATTATATAGCTTAGAAGGAAAAGTGTAACAGGTTAACTTATTTTAAGCATTAAATTTAGCTCAACTTTTATTATATATTGCAATACATAATTCAAATGTATATACGTGAATGTATATAGGTCAAATGACTGTAATAAATAAAGAAATAAAATAAATAACATTGTATGTTTATTTCTCGCAAGAAATATATATATATGCAAAGAACGTAAATGATCTAACAAAGGGAACAGGCGTAAGTTGGCAGAAACAAAGAACGTAATGTACGTTACGTTCGTTATGTACGTGTTACGTTCTTTGGTAAATTAAACTTGTTGCATGTAAAGGTATGGCAACGACGCAATCTAATTAGAACATTTAATTAGCAACTCTACATTTTCGGAGTGTGTGTCAAGTCAATCTTTTATTTTTCGTTTTTCCAAAAGTATTGTGATGCTTCTATTGTCTTGCATTCGCGTTTGTGTAAATATTTTAGTGAATCTTACTAATATTTAGGATTATTTATCGACAAATAATTACTTTTTGTAACAATTAAAGTAATTACTTAACATACGGATACAATGCAATCGATTGCGTCTGGTGAAGCGGAGCCAAGCAATGGCGCGGCGACAGATGTATCATTGCGTTTCTACTCATTCTTGCCATGCACACTACCGAAAAAGAGTGAGTAAAATGTTGTTTTATTATAAATTAATGTTTCAAAAGCCATGTGAACCTTTTTATTACAGCATTTACAAGCCCCAAAACAAGTGGTTATTGTACAGACAATAGTGGTGTGCTTGT